CTGGCTGGGGGGGTGGGCGTTGGGGGTCAGAGGGGCTTAACAGGGAGTGGGTGGAGAGGCAGAGCCAGCCTTCCAGATCTGCGGCTGCAGGGAGGGGAAGCATGACTGGCCAGTCCGGCACCTCTCTGGAAGAGCCATGCTCGGAGTCTCTGTCATGGCCTGAAGGCCGTCATTGTTACCCCATCCCCATCCAACCCTGGCCTCTAGGCAGAAACTCAAAGGTTTTGGCTTTGGTGCAGCCCTGCCAGCTGAGCCCAGGTGCCCTGTAGCTTCCAGTTTGCTCTGGGAATGGAGATTAGCCTGAAGACCAGCACCTGTACCACCCCTCACAGCTGCTCTGGGCCTCTAGGCCCCCCAAGCCTAGGAACAGATTATTGCCGAGTGCTTGGTTGTCACTAAGTCCCAGCCTTATGCCTGTCTTGCCCTGGAGCGTCTGTGTGGCTGGGACTCGTGGTAATGGTGGTGGAGTGTCCGTTCTACCAAGGGACCTCAAGGGGCTGAAGTGTGAGTTCTAGGAGGTCAGGCACCAGGCTCAGGTCAAATGTCCATATCCTTAATCGTGGCTGTCGGGGACTCATGGGATGGGTGCCCCAGATGGGACCCCACACACATACACATGCACACACCTGATTGGCCACACCCTTAGTGGTGCTTGTGGATGGACCCAGGATGAGCACATTCCCAAGACTACAAGGAGCACAACTTCCTGGGGCATGGCATTATCAGGGCCAGCGCCTCCTCTCTTTGGGGTTTTGTGATGAGGAGCTAATCCTGTGTTTCTCAAAGCACGGTCCACTGACCTCTTGCATAAGCATCTGGTGGGGTATTTGTTGAAAATGCAGATAGCTGGACCTCTCCCCAGGCCCCAAGAAGGAGAATCACTGGAGAACAGAGAATTCTGCATATTTAACCTGCTCCCCAGGAGATCCTCATGCAAAGTTTGAGAACATCTGCATTCTGGGAATGTGGGCTAGAGGATGGTTTGGGTGGGGGGCCTTCTCTCCCACCAGCAGCAGGAGGCCGGCCCCATCCTGGCAGCTCCCCATGCTCTGCCTGCCTGTCTCCCTCCCACTAACCTCTGTTTGTGTCTTGTTCTCAACTTTCCAGCCAGATGTTTAGTAATAAACGGAGTTTCTTTCGGATCCACGCCAGCTGGAGACCGAGGTACCCCTCACCTGCTCCTCCGGTCCCCACTCCTCCTTGCTCCACCCAGTTTGGGGGCTGGAGAGGGGGACAGGATGGGCCAAGGACAAGGTGCATGTGCCTGCCGCCTGCCATCTGTCTTGGGGCCCCGACGAGCCCCTTGCCTTCCTGGGGATGCCTCTGCCAAGTCTGGGGGCATGGGCCTGGTGCCCAGTCTGCCAGGAGGGACACTTACAGGAGGCTTGGGATGAGTTCTGGCTCTGCTGCTGACCCCTTGTGTGATCTTGGTCAAATTGCTTCTCTTCCCATCTGTGGAATGGGCAGATTGAACTAGAGGCTCTCTGAGGGTCCCTCCCACTCTGACTTTTGCTGGGCCTTGGGTTTAGCTTCCCTGCTGCCCACCTAGGGACCTAGCAGATGCCTGAAGGAATGAGACTGGCACCTCCCTCGCTATCTCCAGAGCCCAGCTCTTTTAGCTACATCACCACTACATTCCTTGGTACCTGCCCCATGCCAGGCCCCACACCAGGGACACAATGATGAATAAAACATGGTGCCTGGAGAGTTGCAGAGAAATTGCTATTCGGTGTGATAAGTTTAGCAAAAGGAGAAGCAGAGGGCCTGTGGGGCCTGGGTCGGGCACTTCACCCCAAGGAGGCCCAGAAAGGAGTGGGTGTGAGGGAGGGCATTATAGGGCAAGGAAGTGACAAGGTGATGAGCTGAGAGAGGGCACAGCCGTGGCAAAGGACCAGGCAGCACAGCATGGCCAGATCTGAGAGTGGGAGGTCAGGAGCTGAGGTTGGGGGCAGAGCTGGGTCATGAAGAACCCAAGAGCCCAGAGTGGGCCTCATCCTGTTGGCACTGCCTGGCAGCTTGGGCTCATGGAGTCCTGGGTTTCCCAAAAGTGCCTCTGGACCCTGGTGGACTGGAGGGCCCATGAGTAGGACGTGAGTGACAGGGCTGCTCTACCCAGAGCCAGTGTTTCTTAGAAATGGGGGTTCTAGATCTGAACCTGGCTACCAGGAGTTGGGTCTGGCAGGCAGTCAGAGGACAGCCCTAGTCAAGCCGTTCTCCCAGGTGCCAACAGATCACTTAGATCAGAGTTGCTTGACCTTGGCACCATTGACATTTTGGGTCTGATAATTCTTTGTTGTCAGGAGCTGTCACATGCATTGTTGAATGTTTAGCAGCATCCCTGGCCTCTACCCATTAGGTGCCAGGAGCACGTCCCAGTGTGACAACCAAAAATGTCTCCAGACATTGCCAAGTGTCCCCTAGTGAGCAAAATTGCCCCCAGTTGAGAACCACTGCCTTAGACCCTATCCCGATTGCTTGTCCCAGAGAAAGAACAGTTTGTATAGTCAGAGGAGACTGGGTTCCGGTCCTTATTCCATCCATAGTAGTTCTGCGACCTTGGGCAAGTCATTTCACCTCCCTCTGCATCTATAAAACAGGGATGGAAAATACGGAACCCACCACACGAAGTGGCTGAGAACTGGAGGGCTGAGGCAGTGAGAAAGGACCTTGCGTGTTTGAAGGAGCCTGGGAAAGGAAGGCGCTCTTTCGATGTTCACCGTGTGCCAGGTTTCTTTCCATTTTCTTTGAGCTTTTAGGCTCCAGAGAGGCTCACGTGAGCCATTTTCTGGGCCCTGTCCAAGGCACTGGAATCCAGGGCCACTTCTGGGGAAACAGAGCCTTCTTACATTGAAGAGGAGCCCAGGGCCTCTGGCTGGCTGGAAAGTTACAGAGTCCCACAACCCACCAACCAACACAGAATCAGAGCTGGAAAGGGACCTTTCAAGGCCTCTAGTACAAGCCCCCAGACCTTTTCCTCATAAATCCTGCAGAGTGCAAGCTGTCTCGCTTGCATACTTTTCATGACAGGGAGGTCACCCTCTTCCCCCAGAATACCATTGGAGTGATGTGCTGGGTGCAGAGATCTGGAGTTCCAGGCCCTTGGCTGAGTGTCAGGGTCTTCTCCAGCTCCCTCTTCCTCTCCCCCTTGGAGGAGTGGAGGACAGAAGGAGGGGTTGCACGGGCTGGGCGGGTGTGGGGGTGCTTGCCAGCATGAGGAGAGCTCGAAGGAATGGCTCTGCAGAGGAAAGTTTGGGAGAGCCAACCTCAAACTTTGGTTCAAATCTTTGGGATGTGTTGAAGGGATACTGGGCCAGAAAACAGCATGCTAGATTGCAGGGGCCACCCCTGTCCTTCCCTTCTGATTTCAGGGCCTCGATTCTTGACCTCTAACCTCTCCCCTCTGGGCAGAGGTCTCTACCTTTAAGGATGGCCCTGCATCCTGGCTGCCTTCCTGAAGGCACCTCTGGTTTTGAGGTCTCCCTCACCTCAGTATCTTGACTTTGTACCCTGGACCCCATGCCTTGGGCATGGGGGACCCTGGCTCCCAACCAACCCTGAAACCAGAATCTATCCTCTGCTATACCCTTGATCTGAAAGCCCCTGAAAGCAGGTGACACAGTCTTGTCCCCCAGTTCCTGCCCCACCTCAGGCCTCCTCTGAGACTGGCTGGTGCTCTTCTGAGCCAGGACCCTAGACATTTGGGGCAGAAGGGCCCCCGAACCTATCTGCCAGGGCCCTCCAAGTGGCAAGCCACAGCAGGGAGGCAGCCGTGCCAGCCACAGGGCATGGGATGGGGGACGTTTGCATAGGTCCTACTCCAACAGCGATAACATGGTCCTTGAACCTCTTGGACACAGAGTTACTCTACCAGGTATTGGTTATCCAGGGCCTGTTCTGGGGAACCTGAGCTCCCCAGCCTGTCTTCCATGGTTTGGGATATGTGGTGGGGATCTGGGTGTGGGAAGGGAAGTTGGAGCACATGCAGACATGCATGTGTGTGCTTACACAGCACAGACATATCTAGGTGCTGTTCTCTGGGGACTTAGTGAACAGGCAATGGGGGGTGGTGTAGGGCTGTGGAGGGGGGAATCCATGGTCACATGGGCAGGTTGTCAGCCCAGGTGAGCAGAATTCAAGCAGGTGAGACCACAGAAGAACAGGCTATGGACCTTCCCCGGGAGGGCAGGCACCAGACATGTCCTGGGCACACATGTGGGCCCAGCTGCTAAACCCACAGGGCCAAGGCCCCTCGGCAGGCCAGTCCACTGCACACCTCCAGCAGCACCACTTACCCTGGGGTCTGTTTGGCAGAGACCTCTGGGATTTTACAGTACACGGCCTGTGTAGCTGTGTCAGGTCCTAGGACCCTGGCCTGACCGGTGTGGGATTAGATGGCTCCAGGAGTGGGAAAAGGAGGGAGAAAATAGAAATTGGCAGATGTACACACACCAACATGTGTACACACGCTTGTACATGTGTACCCACTGTCATGTGCATGCACACAAACACAACCACACACACACCCTCAACCCCATATAGCCCGCCCCGTGTACTGAGGGGCTGGAGGCTCACCTCAGCGCACGGCCCGGCGAGCTTCTCCATCCTTTAGCAGCCTGTCTGCCCAGACTAGTCACCCTCCACCCATCCACCCAGCTGGGCCAGGCCAGCTCCTTTGTCCTTCTGTCCGTCTTTGACTTCCTTCTTGGGTTTCTGTCCACTCCTTCCACTTTGACATCTGTCTCCTGTGCACCCCTTATCTGTCTGGGCAATGAGGGGTGGGAGGTGGGGGTGGGACAGGGGGAGGATCTGCTCAGACTGATCCTGGGTCAGCTTCTTGTCGGAGTCAGGGTCCCCCTCACCACACCCTTGTCCCATCCCAGAAAGTCTCCCCTTGGTGGAGAACCAAGACCCAGTAGCCACCCCCAAGTCCCAAGTCAGCTGTGTCTCTACTCACGCCCACCCCAGCTCCAGCTAACTTGACTCTCTCCCCCGCCCAACCTGCCCTGCCAGCAGCCGGATGGGCATCAAAGACCGCATCCGCATGGGCAGCTCCCAGCGGCGGACAGGCCCCTCCAAGCAGCACCTGGCACCGCCGTCAATGGCCACCTCCCCGAGCAGCGAGCAGGTGGGTGAGGCCACCAGCCCCACCAAGGTCCAGAAGAGCTGGAGCTTCAATGACCGCACCCGCTTCCGGGCCTCTCTGAGACTCAAACCCCGAGCTTCTGCTGAGGGTGAGCCCTGGGGGTCTGGGGCTCTGGACCTGCTTGAGGGTGGCAGGGTGGGGACAGAGGGTGGCAGGGTGCGGACAGAGTCCAAGCTAGGGGTGGAAAGACTTGGTTCCAGTCCTCGCTCTGCAATTGATTGACCATCTTTGGGTACCGGTCTTCTGGTCTGTAAAATGGGTGTCGTGATACCTGCTTGCTGGGCTCCAGACTGAGAACCAGATGAGAATGCAGAGGGTGGCATTTGGTAGTGGTTAAGGGCACAGACTTCGGAACCAGGCTGCCTGGGTTTGAATACTGGCTTTGCCACATGTCTTGAGTAATCTAATCTCTCTAGGACTCATTCTCCTCATCCGTAAAATGGGGGTGATAATAGTACCTACTTCATAAGGTTGTTGTGAGGATTAAAGGAGATTATCCATGGAAGGTGAACAGAAGAGTTTTTGGAATATAGTAAGTGCTCATCAAAAGCGGGCTGCATTATAGATGTGTGTTGGAAGGAGCAGGAGTCCATACTTGCTGAGCCTGAACTGTGTACAGCCCCACAGTGGATTTTCTTGTTTACTTCTCCCAGCTACCCTGGGAAGTAGGCTCTGTTTTTATCCCCATTTCACAGACATGGAGACTGAGATTTCTCAGCTAGTCAGTGGCAGAGCTGTTATTCTCAACCAGGTCTGTCCAACTCCATAGCCCATGCTCCCCACCCTGTCCCTCTTTACTCAGCCCAGCCGGCAGATATAAGGCCGTGACCCTGGTGGGGGTAGCCTTTTAACCAGTTAGGTCACTGATTTGAGTTCTAGCTCTGTTCCTGACTTGCACTGTGACTTAGGCAAGATACTGCCCCTTTCTGTGCCCCAATGTCCTCTTCTGAGAAATGAGAGGGTTGGACCAAGTTTCCTGGAAGAGTCCTCCCAGCTTTGACGTGCTTTAGACTCTTGGGTGGGAAAAGGAGGGGGGGTCGACAAGGATGGAGGATGGGGACAGGAAGCCCCTTTGACCCTGGAGGGAGGGGACCCAGCGCCCCCGCCTCTGTCTGTGCTGTGTCGGCCCCTAATGTGCTGCTGGCTGACAACTGAGAGAGCCCTTTCCTGGGAAGTTAGAGAACTGCACAAACCAGTCTTTGGGAGGTGCTGACCCAGGGGAGTCTGGGCATGGCTGGTGCCCTGGGCCTCTTCCGTGCTCAAGAACGTACCTGGCCTTCCACCAGCTCATGTCCTCGTGGGGCCAGTACAGCGTCACCTGTCTGTGCGGTGCAGGGCACCGGCCTCGGAAAAGCCTTTTCTCTCATCTGGAAGGAAAATGACTTGATTTAGGGCCCTTTCCCCGTTGCAGAGCTGGGCAGGGGAGCCAGCCCCTTGAGCTTCCTTCCCTCTGGGCTGAAGGATACGACTGTGTGCGTGACCGTGTGCAGAGGCCACAAGCCCCTTTTCTCTGGGACGCCCTGTCCTGCATGGTGGAACCAGTGGGGCTTCCTCCAGGGCTTTGTGCCGTTTGCCCCAGGCCAGGCTAGATGTGCTTCCACACAGCCGGCCACCGGGTAGAGGTTTACCTGACTGGCCACAGGGATATGCCATGTAGTGAACTGAGGATTCCCACTCTGGGTAGGGCATCGGGGAAGGCTGGAGCCTGGTCTGCCTTGTGCCCCCAGGAAGGCTCTGGGCCCTGTCTGGGCCTTGGTCTCCCTATCAGTACTCCTGAGGGTGGTTTGCCATGTGGCGGTAGCGGAGGGGAGTGGCTCCTTCTGCTGCCACCACCTGGGTCCCCTGACTTTCCAGAGGGCCCCTCCGAGGAAGTAGCAGAGGAAAAGAGCTACCAGTGCGAGCTCACGGTGGACGACGTCATGCCTGCGGTAAAGACGGTCATCCGCTCTGTCAGGTGAGACTTAGGCCCGAGGTAGGTTCTCCCCCCATTCATCTGCCACCCATTGCTGCTCCCCATCTGGGGCCTGCCCTCATGGCCAGGCCTGGCCTAGGTCCCGGGCACACCAGCTGCTGCCTGCCTGGCACCCTTGTGTGGGTGGGTGAGGAGGTGGCATATGGCTCCCAGCAGGGTTTCCACATACTCTTACGTCTGGAGGGCTGGTTGGGTGGGGCTGTTGGCTCAGCTGCCCATCACCGTCCCTCTCCTCACACCCGCAGAATCCTCTCTGCTTCTCTCCCCATCCTCTTGCTCATTTTACATCAAAGTCTCTTCTCTTTATTTCCCTCTCCCTGGCTATGCATCAGCATCTTCCTGCCTCTCCCCGTGTCTCTGTCTTATGCACTCTTTCCCTCCCTCCGTGTCTCAGACTTTCTCTCTCTCCTTGGGTGTCTTGACCTCAGCCTGTCTGTTTCCCCAGGACTTCCTCTAGAGCAGTGGTTTTCAAACCACAGGTCACAACAGTCTGAAATCAACACAGTGAAATCAATTTAGTGGGCCACGGTCAGCATTAAAAAAAAAAAAGAATAGAATAGAAAATACCAGCATGCATCTTAGTAGTAAGGGTAAATAACATTTATGAAACTTGTGTTTTTAGTTATGTGCATGTGTGTATGTGTGTACTGGTTTCTGACGTAAAATATATTTCTTACGGTAGGTCTTGGTCAAAAAGTTTGAAAGCCCCTGCCCTACTGACTCTACTAGCTGTCTCCTTGCCTCCACAATTAAGGGTGACCAAACTCTCCTGAGCCCTTTAGTCATGGCCCAGCCATGGATCTGGCCCCCAAGCTCCTTGGCATGGAGCCTTGGCCTAGTCTTCATCTCCAGCCTGCAGCTTGAGTTCCAGAGATGCCTTCACCCCCAGGTCTTCCAGACTCACTCCTCTCTTCTCTGGCTCATGCATCTGCCCACAAACCTCTTACCTTTGTGTTTCTTTAAAAATCAGAGTCAGCTGGATCCCCCCCCCAAGAACCTGAGTTCTCTTCCCACCCTCTTTTTATATATCCCCCCTCTCCCCTCCAAGTGACTAGCTTCTGGAACACAGCAAGCGCCTGAGCTGCCACCTGGCCCAGGTCAACACTCCTTGGCCATCCCACAGATTCCTTACACCCAGCATCCCCCAAACCTGTTCCTGGGCCCCCATTCAGGCAGTGGCACCACCATCCATTCTGTCGCCCACGCCATAGGAGTCACCCTGGACTCAGACTTCAAAGCCTTTCAGTCCTGAATTGGTCAAAGCTGTCCCGTATCTCCACCCCGCTGCCGTCTTCTGGCTCAGGCCCATCCCCTGGAGCTGGTCTTCCTGCCTAAATTTCTTTCAGGAGAATAAGCCCCAGGTTCCCAGGTTCCCTCCAGGGCTGGCAGAATGGACACGTTAAAGCAGAGTAAACGACATGGCTCCTTCCCCACCACCCCAACTTCCCATTGCCCATTCTCTGCCAGGGATTCAGGGCTCTTCAGAGTAGCCGCCTCCAGCCTCTGTCTCAAGGCCAGTCTCTTTCCCAGTCTTCTCATATGCTCCACCCCACCCCAACCCCCCTTTCCTTCCCAACTTGTGTCGGCTGCTTTGACCTGACCCACTCACACACCTTTGTGCCTGCCGGTGTCCAGAAAGCCTCCCTTCATTCCCCTCCTCTTGCCCTGGCATTAGGAAGTATCCCTCTTAAGACTTGCCTCCTGACCTCACCAACCAAGGTCTCCCTTGTCATGGTCCCCAGCCCTCTTTCTCTATTCCTTGACATGGCCCCTGTCACCTCATAATTGTCTGTATCCTCTGACTCCCACCTCAGACTAGGGCTCCTGAGGCCAGAGATGGGATCTGACGCCCTTTTGGGTGTCCAGGATCCAGCACAGCTATGCTAACAAGCATTTGCAGAGTGAATGCAAAAATGTCTTGCTCCAAGCTGTCATCAGCAACAGTGCCCCACCTAGCAGGGCGCAACCAGGCCGGGTCCCTGCCCTCTCAGGCAAATGCGACTGCAGATAACAGGCACATAAAAGAATTCCAAACAAACCTAGGGGTCGGGAGGCTCGGGAGGCTCAGGCGTGGTCGGTAGGGGAGGCTGGGAGGCTCAGCAGGGGCTGTTTGCCGTGCCCCAAACCGGAGAAGCCCTGGTGCTGGACAATTCGGTAGCAAAGGGGCAGAGATGGGGCTGGAAGACAATTCCTTCCCTCGGAGACACCCTCCCCCGACAGGATCCTGAAGTTCCTGGTGGCCAAAAGGAAATTCAAGGAGACGCTGCGACCCTACGACGTGAAGGACGTCATCGAGCAGTACTCGGCAGGGCACCTGGACATGCTGGGCCGGATCAAGAGCCTGCAGGCTCGGTGGGTGCGCCCGCCCACAGCGGGGGAGCGGGACCGGGAGGCCTCCTCGGTCGCAGACTCTGCGCCAGGTCCCCAGGCCAAAGCCCCTCCGCCGGCGCCCGAACGAAGCCCGAGCGCCCCCTAGGGGTCGCCGCGGAAGCTGGAGATTCTCAGGGCTCAGGCCAGACCCCGCGCCTGTCTTGAACATAACCTAGCGCAGGTCCCCTGTGAAAACCCTATTGACCTGCACAATTCAGGAGGCGTCTTTAGATGACTGTTTCCTGGTCATAAAATAACAGGCTTAAAATCAATGACCTCCCATCTCCCAAGGGGATGGGCAAGTTGTACACCATACTGCCCACCTCTTGCCTCTCTCCACCCAGCGTATGGGAAGAATTCTCACACCGAGACTCCAGATCACCCACACCTTGCAGAAGTGAGAAGTGGAATTCTCACTTCTTGTTCATTCATTTGTTCTCTCAGAAATAGCCATTGGGTATTTGTTACTTGCCAGACAGTGGGGATATGGTAGAAAGCAAAACAGTCCCTGCCCTCGTGGAGCCTTCATTCTAGTGGAAGAACAGATGGGATATAACCGATGCTGATAAACACTGAGAAGAAAAATAAGGGCTAGGGTGCTGCGGATTGCTATTTTAAGTAAAAGAGAAGGTGATATTTGAGACAAAAACAGAAGGTGAGGCAAGCAGCCCTGTGGCTGTTAAAATATTTTTCAGAGGGAGCAGCAAGTGCAAAGGCTTTGAGATGGGCAAGCGGCTGGGCTGTTGTTTCAGGGACAGCACGGAGCCTCGTGTGAGGAGCAGGTGCTGTTAGAAGGCTAATGGCACTTACAGGCTGTATAAAGCCCTGTAGGCCACTGCAAAGATGGTGGTGTTCATCCAAGGTGAGATGCAAGCATTGGAGAGCTTTGAGCACAGGACTGATGAGATCTGAGTTATATTTTAAAAGGATCACCCTAGGTGGTGTGTTGAGAATGGCCTATAAGGGAGCTAGGGTGGAAGCAGGGAGACCAGTGAGGATGCTACTTCAGACGTCCAGGCAAGAGATGATGGGGACTTGGACAAGGGGAGAGGTGGTTAGATTCTGGATGTATTTTGAAGATAGAGCTGACAGGGTTTTCTGATGCAATGTAAGAGGAAAAAAGTGTCAAGGTTTCTGGCTTAAGAGGAAAAAGTTGCTTTCTGTTGACACAGGGGAGGCAATGAGTGGAGCAAGTTTTGATCAGAAAAATTGGGACGTGTTGGGTTTGTGATGCCTGTCAGACATCTAAAAGGAGTGTTGATCTGGCAGTTAGAGGAGTGTGGAGTTCAGAGGAGAGGTATGGTGCTGGGGTTATAGACTTGGTGTTAACAGTGTATAGTGGAATGAACATTTGGAACTGAAGACATCACTCAGGGAGTGAGAGTAAATAGACAGAAGAGGTTCTAGTAGTGAACCTTGGGTCCTACAGTATTTCAAAGTTGTGGAGATAAAGGAGGAACCAGTGAAGGAGAATCATTGAGGTAGGAGAACTGGGAGAGGGTGGTGTTTGGGAATCGAAATGAAGAAAGTACAGGACGTACAGGGTGCGCAGATGTGCCCAGCACTGCTAGTAGGTCAAGTATAATGAGGACTGGGAAGTGATCTTTGAATTTAGCAACATTTGGGATCTTGACAACAGCAGATTTGATGAAATGGTGAAATGAAAGCCTGATTGGAGTAGGTTTTAGAGAGACTGGAAGGAGAGAATTGGGGATAGAGGGTAGAGAAAACACTTTCAAGAATTTTGCTGTAAAGGAGAGCAGAAAAATTATGTGGGACCAGCTCCAGCCTTGTCTACCTAATAACTCACATTCCCACTGCGCCTCTCCCTCTTTCCCTGGGTCCGTTTCCCACCTGTCCTCCCACCAGGTGGCTGTTTTACTCGTCATGTTTCTTCTGTGCGATGCCTTTGCTCGGCTAGTTGGAAAACCCTCAAAGCAGTGGCCAGGCCCCTCCGTCTGGCAAAGCAAAACGCCCCGCCCCGCTCAGGTAGCCTCCCCCCGTCGGCGCAGGCCGTGCCCCCCCTTTCAGCTGGCAACCCCGAGTTCTGGTGGGCGGGCGGAGTGGCGCGCGTCGGGGCCCTGTGACGGTCCCCTTTCCTCCCAGGGTGGACCAGATTGTGGGAAGGTGCCCCGGGGACCGGAAGGCCCGGGAGAAGGGCGACAAGGGGCCCTCGGACACGGAGGCGGCGGATGAAGTTAGTATGATGGGACGCGTGGTCAAGGTGGAGAAGCAGGTGAGTGTGCGAGCGCGTTTCCTGGGCGTGGGGCGGCTAGTCGTCAGCCGGGACGCTCGGCAAAGTCGCGGGGACAAGCGCGCGGGGAGGGCGCGCTTCTCAGAGCCGCAGCCCCGACTGCTCACCGGCGGGGGAGGCCCTAGCGGGACCCCGCCCCACAGATAAGCCCTGCCTCCCAGGAAGCCCGCCCACGGCAAACCCACCCTCTCCCGCCAAGCCCCGCCCCAGGCTCCTCTAGTCTCAGATTAACCCGCCTAAGTCCCACCTACTTAATCTAACCCCGCCTCGGTTGTCCGGTTGTTAAATTATTCCAACCAGTCAGAACTTAATTTTGTTCGGGGACTAAGCCCCAGGTTACCAGTTTC